GGTTCTTCTTTTTATCCTCCCAGACGAGTTTGACACATTGGTTTCTTTGTGTTGTGTAGACATCCCAGGTATGGTCGTTCGGAGAGGCTATGTAGATGTGCCATGCCAAGTCCCTTAATGCCATGCATTTACGTGCCCTGCTCCTTAAGGAAGACTTCATCCTTTTAGGCCGGCAGAGTTTGGTTTCAAATGTCCTTGCCACGAGCTTGTTAAATATGTTGAGGAATTCTCCGCAGTCTACCTCAGGGGTCAATTCGGCTAAGAATGACCAGGTTGTTGCATCAATGAGGTCGGAGATGTCGTCAAAGTTGGTGACGACATGATATTCCTCGGCATGCTCTTTACGATAATCCGCGTAGCACATGTAATGAAACACTAGCGTCGCATGATCACGGCGGCTCAAAGGAGTATCGGTTATCAATCTCTCGACGATCAGTCTTCATTGGCGAATATTCGGTCCAATATGAATGGCCTGTTAGTTCCCGAGAACCTGTGGGCGTAGTGACGTGGCCATAAAGCGGGAAGTCTGAAATCAGATCTTGCAGGTCTACTTTGAATTGCTCTCCTAGTGTGGCGTGAGATTCTAGAGTTTGTAAGTTGAAATCGCTGTCGACTAGAATGTGACCGTACTTCCTGTTTATCACTTGCCTCAACGCGGCCGCCAAGTTGCAGTCCATCTCAGGAGTAGAGGATGGTGGGCAGTAAGTAACAACCAATAGGCCGAGGTGGTTTTCTCTCAGCCGGAAACTACACCAAATGGAGTCAGGTACCTCGGTTTCCGAATCTTTTATGGGTTCGCTTTGCAGGTTGTTACGATCCTTCCGGACAACGGACATGCATATTAGCGCGATTTCGGCATCCGTTATCTCAAAGCGCAACCACGTTTCGGTGACAGCGATGAGGTCCTAAGCTGCTGACGCATGTTGAAGTCTTAATTCAGCTAATTTGCTTAGACCTTGGGCATTTGTGTACATGCATGAGAGCTTCTCGGAGACCTAATTGTGTTAGATTGGATGGATGAATCAAGCGAGTTTACGCCGACCAATAAAGGGTCAGCGACTAATAGTTTTTTGGATGGGTTGCAGACTCTCGAGGCGAATTTGGTATATAGGCAAGTATCTGATGCCCCGGATGCCGGTGTTTTCTCGTGCTCCGCTGTGTCCCTCCGGATATTATGACTACTGTTGAAACCGTCCCCGAGTCGGGTCTTGCAGTTGGCTTTTTCATCGTGAGTTGTGCCTCCACTGAATTGTCATTAGAAGGTGTTGGTGTTCCCGCTGCTTTCAGACAAATTTCTGTTGGCAATCTGCTGCGGAATTTAGTCCAGTTCTCTAGAAGGGTTTGTGCCGTTGGTTCTGATTGCAACACAAGTTTTAACAGCCTGGGACCGCACCCCATATAGTGTGGTGATATGGGGATCCTTGTCAACGAGGTTACCACGACATTTTCGAGAGAAAGAGCCTCCCGGATGTAGTGCCATTGCTTGCAGTCGTGCCTCTGAGCATCATCGGAAGAGGAATCTGTAAGCTCAGGAACACAGTGAACAATCACTGTTTTCTTATCTTGACTTTTTCTGTACCTCCCTCTGTTAGTGGGATCAGCTGAACGTTCTTTCCACGGGATTTCAGATAGTGTGCGCACTCCACTTGAGTCGTTGCGGAGACGGTACGCAGATAGCAGAACGGCCTCTGTCTCGTCTGCCGAGTTTAGTGTTACCCGAAGTAACCGGGGTTCACCGTAGTGCAACGCGTTTGGGTGGCGGGAGATTCTTTTTAATGTCGTGGGATTAGTATGGACGCCGATCGACGTACCGATGGAAACCCACTGATTTCGATCGTCCGCCAGCCTACTCGTAATTGTATTGGACTTGGATTAGGGGATATTTGTGCATACCATGTTTAGGGCACCATGGTGGCGCCTGGTGGCTACTGTTTTGGATTTGGAGCCTTAGTATCCGGTGTTTTTGGTGAATTTGTGAACGGCACTGATGGAGGCCATCCATGTTGCGACACTTTAGTTTTCTCTAGTCCGGGCACAAAGGTTGCCGCTGCTCTTTCCAATGTTTGCTTGGCGGAAACCCACGTGTACGTTGTCGGGTTGTTCACCATGGCTGGTTGACTGTCGCTTACGATCTCCTGTGGAGCGAACAGACTACTAAATGCAACGCACTGTACAGAAGTTAAATCAGGCGCGCTGCAGGCAATGCTTTTACTTATAGGAGAGAGAGAATGGAGTTGGTACTGTTGGAGGCTGAGTCGTTGGGGTGAGGTTCGGACGCCTGGCTCTCTTCTTCGGCCTAACTAGGGAATTCGGGGTGTTATTTTCCCATACAAGTGCACGGCCGTTTCCTCCCATGGGTGTAACCCTGGCGCTCACCAGTTGCTCGACCGCTGCTGTTAGTCGTTCACAACTCTTCAGTAGCACAGATAGACAGCTAACAACTGGGATAAAATTGCATATTTGGCAAAAGCACCACGCCTCTGTCGTGTTAGTGTATCGTTTTGTTGTTGTCGGTCCCTTTCCTAAGGCAGGTAGTGTGATATGATTTCAAACACATGGTACACACCAGACCATTTTTTACCACTTTAGCACATGACTCGCATTTGCGCTTCTTAGGAGACATGCTCACAGTAGGCGTGCTGTTTTAAGGTCACGCTTTTGTCACCTCAGCTTCCCGCGTTAAGGTCAGCGTGAGTCAGCGTGGCGCGCTGGCTGTCACCAGTGTTCCCTTGTACGCACACGTTGTAGTGTTGGTTGGGTGATCGATCGATGTTAGGTCCGGTTGATTTGGGACCCAGTAAATGAAGGTAAACAGCGGTGAAAACAGATCGCGAGATCGCAAATTCATTCATGGATGCGTTGAGAAACGCCGGATTGCAGTAAGCTTAGGCTTTTCGGACTGCCTCGAAAATTCTGTACCGAATGGTAGCACACCGAGGGGCAATAGGCACAAAGGGAATGAGTTATCCACGTGTGTTCAATCGCAAATGACAAGCAAATCGGTTAGTGATGGTTAAAACTTTAGTGGTATAGAATAATTCGCGTATGATAGATCACTGTGTAGCGCTGGTAAATCCGGTTCGAAGGAGCGTGCGGTGACTAGGCTGCGAGAAGATAGACAGAAGTTAGGAAGGAGTATTCCAAATGAACCGAGAGCACGTACGTCAAGCATGTGATTCACGCCACTACATCTTCGGCCCCATCAACATCCACTTCCGTCCACCTCTTACCATTAGCAGGTTGGTGGTGCATGACCGGTGTTGATGAAAGCTTTGCTGCTCCGGTGCCAAGACGTTGCATTTTGCCAGATAGTCCATTAGATCCTGAGTGACGACCGCTTCCATCACCTTCGCGAGCATAAGGATGAGAGTTTTTGGACGATAGTTTGCAGGAATTGAACGGCTACCGGCTTTAAGAACTGAGGTTATAATGCCACACCTCCAAAAAGTTGGGACCTGCTGTTCCTCAAAGAACATTTGGAACAATTATGACAGGGGTTCAGCTAGCTAGGTGGTCGCAGCATTCAGCGTTTTCACGCGGATGTTGTCTGCTCCCGGGGAGCTATGATCTCACAGCGAGAGTAATTTCCTTAGCACAACTCCTGGATTGCGAATTCCATGTGTAGACCATGGAGTTGGTAATGTACATGGCGTTATGTGACAGGTAGAGGCTGCGAGTTCGAAAACTGGGGCGTATTGTAGCCGCAGGTCATTAGCTGCTTCTTCGGCATTTTGTGCTGTACTGCCTGTTTTGAAAAGTGGAGGGATGCCATGCTTCACTTTATGAAAATTGCTGACACACCTATACAGTAGTTTGTTGGTTGCCAGGAATTTTTTGGCTAGGCACTGTCGATAAGTTACATTGTCCTCACGGAGAAGTGCAGCGCAATGGTTGCGATGGGTCAAGAAATTGCCCCAAGTTTCTGAGTCAGGGTTAACCTTGTAGGCACGTCATGTTGCTTCCTTTATCTTTATGTATTTTCGAGTCCTGCTCCTTAGAACTAAAGGCCTTTTGGCGGGACGTTGGAGCTTGGTCTCTGATGCTCCGTTGACCATGTCTGAATCTTTCAACGAACACTGTCCAAACCTTGTCAAGGGAACTGTTGTTTGTGAATTCCTAAAGAGATGCCTCGACGAGATTTTCAAGACTTGGTAGCGTGTGATTGCATGAGTTAGTTCCGAGTGTTTGGATGGATATTATGTATAACACACATTTTTGAAAATCATTACTACATGGTCGTTGAGACCTAATGGACTCTCCACCATTAACTTGTCAACCATGAGCTCTTCATTCGTGGGCACTAGGTCAAGTATGGACGGTTTGTTTGCTGGCTGGGATCTAGTGGGCGGGGTGGAATGATTGTACAAGGGAATATTAGCGATAAATTTATGTAAGTCTGCCTTGAACTATTCACTGGGTAATGCCGATACCTCTAGATCGTGTAGATCGAAGTCTCCGGAGATGAGAATGTGGCTGTACCTAGTGCGTGTTACTCTATTCAGAACATGTAGCAAGCGGGAATCCATTTCCGGAGAGGACGTTGGGGGTGGTAAACGACAGCTAGGAGACACGCGTCGTTTTAAGTCGGAGACGACACCAGAGTGAGGCAGTAACATGGGTTTCCAGGGCATTAACTATTGCACATTGCAGGTCACTGCGGTAATAGAGAAGGACCTCACCTTCTCTGCTAAGGCGTTCGTTCCGGAAGCGTGACATTCCAGCTATCTCATTCTCAGCATCAGCCAGTTCTTGGTGCAACTCAGTGTCGGTAATGGAAATTAGGTCCCAAGCACACGCAGCCTGACGTAGCCGAAGTTCGGTAACTTTACTGAGAAGCCCTTTGTTCTGCTGCTTACAGGTTCTGGTCAACTCCAGTCCAAGTTGTTATCTTTCCCGTCGGTGGGCTGCAGTCCGTAAATACCGCTTCACCACACCCATCTTGCAGTCTAACAAACGCAACTGAGGAGTGATACCTCCGTACTCTACAAGTAAGGCTGTTCATGGTTAAACAATTAGGAACTGGTGTGACAAACAGCAACGTAGAAAGTGCGTTTTCTAACCAGAACCGAGAATCCCTACTTTACAGAAAGCATTCTTGTTAATGAATGGCTTACAGTACGCGATATGTTGAGGTATTCTCGGAAAAGCATCGAAGAATAGTAATGGTGGCTTTGCTGCAATCTGTGAAATAGATTCCAGGTACAATGGTTGCATAGGTTATAACAGCCCACATAGCACAACATAGCATGTCTATCAGAATCTCGAATACCCGGCTATGGCTCTCGACAAACCAAAGTCTCTGGTGTAGACACCTCATGTTGTCATTACCACAGTCAGCCAGCAGATAATTCCGGCAATCAAGGGGTCGCCATGGCTCTCAGTTGCCAAGCACACTAAGCTTTCATTTCATGGAAGCCAGTATGAGCTAGAATAGCAGTTGCACGCCTAAAAAAATCGCCCAATCAATCTTACCATAATCTTTGTCTACGCACCAACCCAACCCTCAGCGAAAAGTGACAAAGATGAACTTTACGATACTCCGCAGACAGTGGCGAACTATGTTCCAAAACGCGACATCTTGATTATTGCTGGGGACTGAAATGCACAAAAACCGGTCCTAGGAACGATCAAATCCGTCACATACTCGGGAGACACGCCCTTGGAGAGGGCTGTGCTATTGGATACCACTTACTCAGCTTCACTGACCTTAACCGGTTATGCGTAACCAATATTCGCTTCCAGCATCCAAGGAAGCATCTTCTGACGTGGTGCTCCAACGATGGTCGTACAGCAAGCCAGATAGATTACATCTTAATCCGATCCAGGTGGATGTCCTCTATCGATGACTGTCGAGCGTACAGAGGGGCTGGAACAGGCACTAAAGGTGGTTTGGACCACGCACTCCTGCGCGCCAAATTGACTCCGCTTGAAACGCCCCGAAAGACACTTCCATCAAAGCGTAGCAACACTGTACCACTGGAAAATACTGAGTGCTACCGAGCTCTTGAGGTCGCAATAGAAGCAGAAATTTCTGCCAGTGCACTACGCCTCGTAATTGCAGAAGATGAATCGGTAGACGCTCGTTGGCCTAGGCTAAAATCGTCAGCTCAACGCGCCGCCCTTTCTACCCTGGGCTCTACCTCTAAGCATGTGAAGAACTGGATCACTGAAGATACTATCCGCTTGTCCGGTAAATCGACAGAAACATGTCTCACGAATTCTCCAGATTACTGTCGCTTGAAACGTAAGACAACCCGCTCAGCACGGAATGATCGCAACGGCCACTGGTCTGATATTGCAAGCAACATGGAAGCTGCATCAAATTCTGGCAATTTGGCTCATCTCTTTCGTCTCATCCGCCTGGCGCCCGCCCTAATAAGCGAAAGAGTGTTCTCAGTTTGACCACATAGCAACCAGCCACAGAGGGCGCGGAAGCGTAACGGACTGCCGATCGTACTTGTCAACTTATCTGGACTCCGATAACGCATTGGTTCGTGCTAAGATTTGCATGTGTTTCGGAGGATCACCCAAGCGCGTTCACTACCGACCGGAAGTCGCAAATCTACAAAACCCTGCGATTTTAACCAGGTACCAAACCTCATTGTCAACCTTGTTTGGCTCAACTATTGACAGTGACCTCAATCCACATGGGGTGCAGACCAAAGATGCGTTAGTTTCCGCCAGTATCCACACCTGTGGAGTTGGCTGTCACCCACCGAAGCATGGATTTCCGCCGTCTCCTTGTCGCTGAGGGACGAACGCCGTTTGGTCCCGTCGGATTCCAGCCACAGTGAAGAACGCCAATCCCTGGGTCGAGACTTGCGCCTGAGTCTGCAAATGGACCGCGAAGCTTGGTAGTGTGAACGTGCTAGGAAGATGGAGCTTGCTGGTCTTTATGGTAATACAAGAAAAAATTTCCATCTCATTCGAGTCACCGAAGATGTTCGATCTGGTACAAGTGAAACAATATGCGAAGAGGATGGCACCTTAATAACCAATCTTCAACAACGGTTGGAGGGATGGGCCGAACATTATGGCTCGCAGTTTTGTTGGGCCCCAGCTCCATCTGCTACCGCTGGCGCTTGCACTGGGGCCGAGTGGTCTACCCACACAGATCATTCTACTTACCAGGAAATCGAGCAGTAGCTCCGCCACGTGAAGCGTTATAAAACCCCAGGCCCTGATGGTCTTCCTCCAGCTCTATTTAAAGATGGTGGCGCTTCGCTGGTTCGAAGACTCACTGTTTTGTTCTCGAAAGTTTGGTCGAAAGAGGAAGTCCTATCGTCTTGGGGTGAAACTATAGTCATCCCCATCTTCAAAAAGGACCTAAACACCATCTGCTTCAACTACAGAGGCATAAGCTTAGTCCCGTCGTTTGCAAGCTGCTGGTGTCTATCATACTTCGCAGGCTATCCCCAACGCGTGAATAATTGCAGCGAGAAGAATTATCTGGGTTTCGCCCTGGTCGCGACTGTAACGATCAAATCTTCACACTCTGCCAGATCATCGAATTCCGCTATGTATATCAGAGGCAAACAATTGCTGTGTTATCGGACAGCTGTCACACGCCCGGAAAAGCACTGTACGTATGTTTCATCCTTTTGGGAATCGTCAGCAGTGTGCATTCCATCGCTCTGGTAGGACTCGAACCCGCAACTCGACTGTTGCCAGTCCGTGGTTGAGACCACTTAGCTACGGGGTACGGCAACGACCATCGTAAATAAGTTACTAGATGTGATATAACGCCGCTCACTATCTGAGTGAGTCTAGATGTGACGAATGTCTACCGATACCATTCAACTTCCCCTACTTCTACTCTGTAATCGGTTGCTGTGCACTTTGATATCTGCGCAGCTTTCGATTCTGTCAATCGGACGGTACTGTGGCACTGCCAACTGAGAAATGGCGATCCCGCGAACTTCGTCTCCATACTGCGCGCTCTCTATGGTCTGACCTCGGGCAGGGTTATGGCTTACGGCAGGCTTTTGCCTAACTTTGTGGTCCCCAGCGGAGTTCGACAAGGATGCTCTATCCCCCCTTTCCTATTCAACTTTGCCATTAAGGATGTCCTAAAGAACGCTCTGCGATTCGTTGAATGCTTGCGTTGAGCTCCTCCCAGGTAGTCGAGTTGTTGAGTTGGATTATGCTGATGAGATCGTCTTGCTGGGTGACGATCCACACGTTTTCCAACTTGCACTAAACCGCTTGGCGATTGAAGCATCAAAGTATGGTATGCACTTTTCGCCATCCAAATGCAAAGCTGTCTTCCAAGACTGGTAGGTGCCTGTGCCTGCACTCACTCTTGGTGGTGAGACACTAAAGGTTGTGGAGAGCTTTGTCTACTTGGGAAGTTGTATCACTGCTGGCGGGGCTGTTGGAGACGAGATTTCGATGCGCATCTCGAGAGCACGCCTCCCTTTCTTTAGTGTGAGGCACTTGTGGCGTCGCCACGACATTCGTCTCTCCATCAAAGGGCGGGTCTATTGTGCAACTGTTCGTGGTGTACTGTTGTACGGATGAGAGACCTGGCCCATTCGTAAAGATGACTTGCGCAGGCTATCCGTCTTCGAGCACCGCTGTCTGCGGTCCATTGCCCGTGTGTGGTGGCGGCACCAGTTAAGCAATGTGGAAGTTAGACAGCGTGCATTGAGACGTGGAAGCCACTCGCTCGAGGAGCTCGTCTCACTGCATTAACTGCGGTGGCTGGGACACGTATTGCGCATGCCTGTCCAGCGTTACCCCCGTCGTGCGTTGTTTTCGGTTGCTGGACAGGGCTGGAAGAGACGGTCTGGTGGACAGCCTGCAACTTGGAGAAGCCGCACGAAAAAGCTGACAAAACAGTTGACCTCGGCCGGTTGTTGTCGACTACCTGGTTGGGTTCCGAGAGATGCGGATAACTGCTGGTTGTGGGCCTTGGAAGACATGGTTCAAGATCGATATCAGTGGCGGACGTGTGCATCGGTGTGTTGTGGCGTCCCTCCTTGCTCCCCTAAAAAACAAACTAAAGAAAAATTCACAAACTGTGATTGGCAAACTGGACAAAAAAGCTTTTGTTGTTGTTGTTATCTTTTTAATATTCATACTGTTTTCGTATTCAGCCATGATTCCGATGGCACAATATCTGCACCACAGAATGTGTATATATATATATATATATATATATATATATATATATATATATATATATATATATATATATATATATATATATACTCGTCCGTTTAGCTTCCGGCAAGCGCCATTCACCACAGCCGATATGGCCCAATTGGGAAGGCCAAATCATCCTTGATACGGAAGGAAAACTTTCCAGAAGGGTATAGTATTTTAGCAACCTAAGCCGCCCACTACACATCACCGCACCCATTTCAGCATTAACCCAGCCAGGAGATGACGCGGATTGTTCACCGCCAACTCCCACAGAAATTGCGGACATTGTTCGTCACCTGAAGCCGAAGAAAGCATAGGGAGCGAATGGGATTCCAGCGGAAATCTACAAAGCTTGTCTACCAACTCTCCTTGACCAGTTGCACGAGCTCTTCTGCTCGAGATGGGAGACAGAAATCTGTCCTTCCTCGTGGAGTACTTTAGTACTACTACCATTTTCAAAGAAAGGTGACCGAACTGTGTGCAGTAATTATCGCGGGATTAGCCTAATCGATGTGGCTGCCAGGACCTTCGTACGAATCTTACTTTCCTGCTTTGTCAATGCGGGGAATGTGCGAACTCACCATAACCAAGGTGGCTTTCGTCCAGGCAGAGTCTACACTGACCAAATCTTCACTCTACCTCGAGTACTCGAACACCGCTCTCAGTTCCAGCGGCCCACGTTTGTGTGCTGCGTTGATTTTCGAGCTGCCTTTGACTCAGTTGACTGTGAAGCACTTGAGAATCCTACTTGCCGATGGCTTGCCGGTTAAACTCGTTAACTTGATGAGACCATACTACCGCCGCACGGGGGTCCGGAGAAGGTCCATGGAGAAGAAACAGAGGAATCCTACAGCAATACTGGAGTCCGGCAGGGTTGTTCACTTTCTTCAATGCTGTTCAACTTCGCAGTCGACTGGGTTATGCATCATGCCCTTGAGAGCTATCGTGTTGTTCAAGTTAACCCTGACTTCTGACTGTCAGATCTGGAAGTTGCTGACGATATCGCTATCCTTGCGGAAGATGCTATATCATCACAGCTACTGCTAAACCTGGTCGACCAATCAGCATCTATGATCGACCTCGAGATTAACATCAGTAAGACGAAATACTTCTCACCATTAACCATCCAGTCCGCCCCGTCACTCTCCTTACATGGAGAACTCATCGAATCTGTTCTTGAGTTCAAGTATCTTGGATCCACTGTACTCCCCAATGGTCCGGCTACATCAGAAATCCGGAATCGTATTGACAGCGATAGAACAGCCTTCTTACAACTGAGAAACACATTGTGGTGAAGGATGGAAATTAGTCTGAGAACGAAGACCTGAGTATTCTCAGCAACCATTTGTGCCATTTTACTCTATGGTTGCGAAACATGGCCGCTGCGATCCGAAGACACTCGGAAGCTGGAAGTCTTCGACCAGTGGTGTCTAAGGCTTATCTTGAAAACGCAGTGGCATGAGCGTATCATCAATGACGAAATCCGTAAGCGCTGTTACGGTCTTCCGAAGCTCACAACGCTCATCGAACGCCGCAGAATTCAGTCGTTTGGTCACTTCCGCCGCAGACCAGACACCAGGTCTGTGGTCTCACCCTCGCCTTGTCAGGGTTGGTGTTGTCGCCTTGGTGGATAATTGGAAACGTGACTCACTGCAGTGAAATCGGATGTCGATCTTCTGGGACTCGATGTTGTGCATGGTTCTCATCACTGGAGGAATCATTGGATCAGTATCTACGTTGAGCTTGTCGCCGACCGCCGCGCTTGGGCAGCTGCAATGCGCGACATTCATGAAGCAGGCTCATCCTGCCGCGGGAGCTATCCGCAGTGAAGTAAAGTAAAATAAGTAACAGCACACTTTTGCGCATGTGTGTCAAAGAAGATAAGGGGATTGCCTGAGCGGAACACAACTGTTATCGCTGAATACCATGACGGATATCGACCTTGCTTTGAGTCCCATAGAAAAGACAACCAGGAATGGAACTGAAACAAAGGGTTCTCTGGTGGCGGATGGCTTACCTCCTGGTCACAAGACTACTGAATTCCGCTAATGGATCTTGTCACAGGGGTTACAAATGTACTGTTTTGATTTGACGTACCCAAAATGTGTCTAGATTGCAACACGCCTCCTCAATTTGAGTCTCCATTTAATCTGCAATAAATCTCGGACATTCCGGTCCCTAGGACCGCACAAGCAGTAGAAGTTTCGATATTTCCCGCTCTTGATACATCAAAGGTTCATAATTGTCTGTATCTTCCACACGGAGACGACCGTAACTGAGACCTGTATCAGGGGTTTCTCGACGAACCGGTCAGTGCTTCAGGAGTACTAATCAAATACGCTCCACTTTAAATAAACTAGGTCACCCATAATTTACTCCAAACAACCACCACAAATCGACCAACATGTTACTTCCTTCGCTATGCTGAATTCTCTTTTTAATATTTTTCACAGCACACTTGGTCATCAGTGGTCCGAAGCTCACGGTCGAAGATTTTACACGCGCAAACTTTTCAGACGCTCACATACGTAACGGATTCATTCGAAAAGTGAGTTTGGGTTAGTGGCGCTATTTATCCCTCGAAATAAAACATTGCGAGTTCATTTCGGTGTAGTTGAAACAGCGCATCGCTTCTCTTGTCACGTAAAAGAACAACCGATGCGTTCGATTTGAATCAGCATCGTGGGAGCTGTCTCTCACTGGTATTATCATCGTTCATTAGTGCATGAGCTGTGCTGCAAACCGACACATCCGCGGAAGACGCATTGACAAAGTATGGAATCGAAATATCTGCCTCAAAACAACATCAAATATTGTTCGCGTAATCGAAAGGACCAGACACGCTTCAAACTAAATCCAAATTCACAATGGGATAAGGTGTCCAGAGACAAACAAACGGCGGACACCACAAGAATCAGTAATAAATTCATAGCCATTGCGTCAAGTGCAGCTCACAAATTTCAGTGGTCCCGTGATCAAGGCGTAAGGAGCCAAAAATACGTGCCGGCTTCCACCCATAGCTCCGACTATCTGTACCACAAAAGTACAAACAATCGCGAAACTGGTGGTCGGGTGTAGTGCTGTGATCGTACAAAACCAAATACAGATATGTTGCTTTTTCATTACTACGCAGGCTTTATGTGTACAGAACTGGGTCAACGCAGACTCAGGATTTACCAGACGCTTATGTGTTGACTTAGCGGACAAGCTGTATCAAAATGAAGGAATCTTGCTGTTGTTTAGCGAGTGAGTATATGTTCATCCTTTTAAAGAAACTAAAGGTGATAAAATACTGTGCACTCGGAGTGGATTCAAGTACACTGACTGAAGCTCGATATGCCAGACGGCGTTGTGATGGCCTACTGACCACACTGACGGTACCGTTGAGCAACAGACTGGCGGATAATACTCTGAAAATGGTCATAAAAGCCGGTGAGTAAGCACAATAAGGAATAGAAATTGCAAAGAATTCCAACTGAAGCAACTGTCCGTGGAAGCCAGTCTCCAGTGAGACAAGTATTAGTTTTAACTCACTAGGTGGAAGAGGTTACATTGTACACGTGTCGGAGAGATGGATAAATTAGAGTATAATCAATGGAACAATGGGATATTACGGACGAAAAATCGGATGCTTAGCAAGTCCCGTAGGATGGCCAGAATGAGAACCGTAACAGTTAATAGAGAACAGTGCTAAAATGAAAATCCTTTTGATGGACTAACCATGGTGTTAGCACAGAAGCATGCAGAAATGGCCAAACTCAGTTTTGTAGGTTAATTGTGGTTGTGTGACTTTCTTCACATTGTATCGTCTGTCGAGGCACACAGGCTATATCTCGTAATGTAGGTGAGTTATGGCAACGTAAAAGTTCCGTCGACATTCTAGTCGACTGTATTGCGTGGCTAAGTTGAACTGGTGACCCCCAAAATTCGTGATATGACTCAGTTGTAGTAGGTGGTGACAGACGTGGTTGGGGTTTTTTAAAATCTAGTGGGCCAAGGTAAGGTCGCCAAGTGGTCGCCGGTACCGGCCGCTGTATAATTCTAGGGTCCTCAGTCTAAGTTGATAAGAAAGATTGAAAACTCCTTTGACGGGCTTTGTAGATCGTCGCTGTGAAGTTTCGAGCGCTGTAAGGTCATGCTTGCGTCAGGTCTGCCAGGACCGCATTGGGTATTCCACGTGAGGCCGCACGTAGGTGTTCAGCGACTGCGAACAGACAGAGGGATGAAACCGACTGAATGCACTTTGCAGCATACCAACATGTTGGTTTCCAGCATTTGACGCCTTTTCAGATGGTTCTGAGCACCCCAGATCAGTCTGGACTAGTACCCCAAGGTCCTGCTCCTGAGTGACTGCTTGCAGGATATGGTCTCCAAGTTTGCATGAGACGTTCGTCTGTGGCGAATATGAACAACCTTACGCTTCTCCGAATTGAACTGGAGCATATTGCGGAGTGACCAGCCATATGCTCTGTCCAGGTCTCGCTGAAGTGCATCATGATCTCCAGAGTCGACGATTGTCCGCCACATCTTAACATCATCACCGAACAGCAAAAAAGCTGAGGCAATCAAACGTGTAAGCTCGTTAAGAAACACGGGAAACAGATGCGACCTAGAAATGATCCTTGTGGAACACCACATTCGACATGAATCGGATCGGACAGCGCACTTTGAACTCTGACCTGCAGTTGCCGATCCTGCAGGAAATTCTTGATCCACCCAAGGACAGGATCCTCAACCCAATAGCTTTCGAGCCTGTGAAGCAGAATGCGGTGGTCCAGGTGGTCGAATGTTTTGGGAAAGTCGAGGTTGATGGGGTCTGTCCCCCTATCTTCATTAGGGCTGCTTCCGTCCAACTATTGCTTGCAATCAATAGGTTGATAGTACATGAAAGGTGTGGACGGAAATCATGCTGCTCGGGTGCAACGATGTTGTGGCGTTCTAGATTGTCTACCAGCCTCAGCGATGATTGCCTCCATCACCTTTGAGAACACACGGAAGATGACCACTGAACGATAGTTGGCGGGCTCCTAGCGAGTATCGCTTCTGAAAATCGGAGTGATTAAACCATGTTTATACATGGTAGGTAAAATTCGCTTATCCAATCACGTCTGAAAGAAATGCGCTAATGGCCCGGCCAGCGTTGTTGCTGCTACGTTCAGCGTCCGCAGGTGAATACAATCGATTCCGAGAGAGCCGTAGGTTCAATAGTTCAATAGTGTATGATGGGATAAAAAGCGTCGGCTTTACAAGACCCATAGGATGGTAAATGCAAAATAACTAAAAATCATTAGATTCCGACATGGAACAGAAATACCAATAGTCTAAACCTAGTACGTCACACCACAATGTGTTGTTTGTCACTCAGATGAATGTCTAACAATTGTTTGAACGCTGTAATGTTCGGAGCGTTTACCACATGCGTTGGCAAGTCATTCCATTGTGAACAGATTCTAAGAGAGTAAAAATATTTTCTACAGTCTAATCGGGAGTGTTGGATTATCAGCTTGAGGTTATGACCTCTCGACCGCTTGTATGAGGCTAGGGTGAGCAGCGATTTGCACGGGTGATCGTTTTCCGTTAATATCCGGTATGCAAGAATGAGATCTCCGCGTAGTCGTCGGTATTCGGAGGAAAACATTCCGATTAAACTGAGACGCACTTCATAATTGAGACCAGATAATCCGCGTGTTGCCTTCGTAGCTCATTGTTGGGGCTGCTCTAAGAGATGAATGTCCCGTTTTAACCATGGGCACCAAGCCTGGACGACATATCCGACGTGGGGACGGATATAGGAGTTGACAAGCATGGGTACCAACCGTCGTTCAAAAACCCTAAAAGCTCGCCTTAAAAGTCTCAGAATCACGTTCGCCACGTTTGTTGCTTTCGAACAATGGGGCGAATTCCCCAGACTTTCTTGCACAATGATACCTAAGTCACTTTCTGTGGTCACGCGCCGTAAAACGTACTGCCCCAAGAGGTAGGTGTTGGTAAGATTGCTGCGCAATGACAGTAGGTGACACTTGGCAGGATTCAGGGGGAGGTGGTTTATATCTGCTTATTTGTTGATTCAATCCAAATCATTCTGGAGGAGGGCCCTGTCTGATGCTTAGCGAATAACTCTCCAGATTTTTGCGTCATCTGAAAAAATTTGCATCGAGAATGGAATATTATCCGGGAGGTCGTTAATGTAGACCAGAAAAAGGAGGGGACCAAGGACGGATCCTTGAGGAACACCGCTGGAGATGCAGAAGGTTTCCGAGAGGGCATCGGCGACTCTGACCTTGATCGTTCTGTCATGCAAACATGCTGCTAGCCAGGTGAGTAGGGAACCATGGATACCGTAGGCACAAAGCTTATGAAGCAGAGCTAAGTGATTGACTCTGTCGAATGCCTTCGAAAAGTCTAGGTAAATCCCATCAAGGAGGGATCCTTCATCAAGCGCTTTGGTCCATGAATCCCGAGCAAGAAGCAGATTTGTGAGGCAAGATCGTTTGCACATAAAGCCGTGTTGCAGGTGAGAAATTAGCTTCAGACTCTCAAAATATCGTGTAATTTCATCTGCAACTAACGATTCCATTACTTTTGATAAAACAGGGAGGAGAATAATGGGTCGGTAGTTGGCAGGATCCGATCGCTTACCTCCTTTGTATATCGGAGTGACTATCCCGCTTTTCCACTCAGACGGAAGTGTTTGGGAATTGAGTAGACTTTGGAAAAAGCTTGCGAGGTGTGCTGCTATGGTGGGAGCAAGAGTTTTAAGGACTTTGGATCTGATCTTGTCGACTCCCAGAGCGCTATTTTCTCTTAGGGACCGTAATTTGCTAGCGACAGCTGCTGAGATAAAAGTGACAGTTGATATGCCGACCACGTTGGGTGAATGCTGGTTTGGCAAAGGTTCTGTGGCGTTTGCAGTCACTGTGCCAAACTGCAGAAGTAATGCGTTCGCAGCATCCACAGCAGTAGTCGTTAGGCCACCATCCGTCTTGAGTGGTGGTATTCCTGTTTTAACTTTCCTTCTGCTGTTCACGTACCTGTACAGCAGTTTTGTATTGTTCGTGAATTTAAGTACCATGTTTATTTGCCATTCGTACTTATCGGATCTAATCAGTGAGGTGCAATAGTTCCTCACTATTTTGTAATTCTCCCAGGTGGCGTCGCAATTGTTCAGCGAGTATTGTCTCCAGATCTCGTCTCTGGTGCTAATCCATTTACGCGTTCTGCTTCGGATCCAGGTGTTGGTCCAGCTCAACACTCGCAATGGTATGACTTTAGAGGCTGCTTGCGTGACACAGTTAATTTGGTCTTTTAGTTCGTTCCACGCGTCGTATGCCGTGCTCTGCAGATTGAGGTCCCAGTTGACGGTTGTCGCTAGGCTGTGAAGCACGGAATAGTTGGTTATAGTTCGTCGGTTTTCATGTCTGATTTCAGTAGTATTGGCGTAACACACATATGCAAAATTTAACGCTGAGTGGTCACTGTTGCCTAATGGTGAATCGTATGAAATTGTCTCAATCATCAACTCTTCGTTGGTTAGGATTAAATCCAGAA